AAGGACCCTGCAACACATAGTGAAAACAGCCAGCAAGATCATCGGCGCCCCTCTGCCTTCCCTTAAGGACATCTTCAACACCCGCCTCACCCGCAGAGACACCTCCCATCCCGCACACTCCCACTTCAGAAGGTATTGGAGTCTTCAGGCCCACTCCACCAGACTTACAAATGGCTTCATCCACCAGGCTGTGAGGATGCTGAACACTGTCCATTATCTACCCCCCTCTGCCCCCTGCCCCTATACAATAACCCACCACAGGAAAAAAAAACTGCCTCTGCTGTTTTACCTTCTGTTATGTTATATGTAAAGCTGCTGCTGACTGTTCTTTTTGCCGGGATATTAGCTGCTGTTGGTCATTTGCAGTACTGTCCATGTAAACCTCATATGCTATTAGCACCTCATCACAAACTCCCTGGTGATGTTGAACCATCTGACAATCTCCTGTTATTGTTTGCACTACTGTCACTGACTGTACATGGTATAGAGTCGCAGCTTATTGGCTGTACTGTTTAGATTTATCCTAATTACGTCAATCCAGTTCTTATTCTATTCTATTTTAGTTCCTAAATGTTATGGCACCCAATACTAGGTGAGAGAGACATGGTATTTCAGTTTTCCCACCTGTACTGCTTACATTCCAAATTTGCACATGCATAATTGCACACTCACGACATTCTCTTATTATATTCTTATATATTTTTATTATATTGCTGCATTTGCTGCTTAAAGTGCTTTAGATTTTGTGTTACTTATTTATCTACTTTATATCTCACTTGTATTATTTGGCATTCATGTGGACTTCTGTCATATTCCTGTGGGAAACCCAAATAAAATCCAATAACACTCTTATAAAACCTATAATAAAATGTTCTGTTGTAGAAAAGTAACGTCGATATGCGAAATCATTTTAAGTATGAAATTAGGGTTTGGGCTTTTGATCTAGGCAGAAGCCACATGTCAGATGTGAGCGGTGCTTAAGCGTTATAAATTATCTGGGGCTGTTGCCTAGCAACGAAATTTGACTGAGGCAGGATTCTCCTTTTGAGCAGAACATATGATCAGCATGTGGCCACTATACCCGAAATTCATCAGAAGGACAAGTTGGACTGGTGTGTAACTGGGATGGATACATCTTTACTGGGACAGTGAAGCTGCAGTTTGTATGCAGGCAGGATGAAGGACAGACTGTATTTACATTCTCCAGCTGCGAGGACCACAAACACAGCCGAGCTTCATCACTAGCGGCGTCGCCACATAGACACTGGTTCATATTTACAATCAGAACATTTTAGGGTTTGTGATGAAAAAATGCTAGTTTGTACCTCAGCTACAAATAAAACATTTTTTATCATGTCACTGCAAACACCAGAGTTTGTTTGAATTAGAAATATAAAGAAATGTTTATATCATATTTATTAAAGACAAAGCTGGAGACAAACTGTATTCAAATATTAGAAGAATAAAAGGATGTTCTGATTTGAAGATTTTTCTTTTCGTGAGAAATTTGAAAGCAAATGAGTGATATGGCTCTTAACTACAAGAAAATTTAGTTATTTTGAGGTACATATGTCACAATTTCAAGAAAACATTTCTCAGAATTTAATGTTAAAATTGTTTGTTTCATAATTACATTCATCTGTATCTCTTATTTGAGATATCACAATTATTAAATGTATGTAAACAAAACTTAAAGTTCACCCATAATAGTTTTCTTGAAATTGAAATACTTAAAAGTAATGAAATGTTATATCAAACATTGTTTCCTTACATTTTTACAGAAAATACAGTATAGAAACTGCCATGACATTGTGTCAAATTTATGAGATAAGGAACTTATCAGATTTTTCTCTCATAATTACTAAAACTTCATAATTATGAAATATCGGTTGTGTCTGAAATCACTCCCTATTCACTGCTTCTTATATAATGTATACAAAGTAGTTCACTCAGTAGAGAACAATAAATTGAGATTTCAGACACTTACTAATCATCAATACACGCTGTGGAACCGCATGCAGATCATTTTGGCATCTAATAAAACACGGAGCATTACATTGTGGGACTGTTAGCAGAAATTAGTGTACATGGCATGTAAACTACTTTTTATGTGGAACTACTTGGATTTTTTTGAGTTTACTAAACAGTGGAGAGATTTACACGCTCAGCATTTGAACACTACTACAACACGGTGAATACACTGGATAGTGTACAAATACAGTGAGTAGAGGGTGATTTCAAACACAGCATTTAACTTATAATTACAAGGAAATGTCTTCAACTTGTTTTCTGTAATCCATGTAATGTGGTTTTATAGAAATGCCAAGGTGTTACTTTCCAAAAATATTAAAAGAACAGTCCGCCATTATCCTAGCTTAGCACACAGACATGGCGCATATTGAGGCTGCTAACGCTGCGTCATCAGAAGACAAATGAATTCACCTCGCAACACCTCCAGCAGTGTGAACCACAGTATTCATAACTTGGTGGGCTGCTCCTTTAAAAGGCCTAACGTCTGCAGTACAAATTAAAATGTGACGAGCTGATTTTTGTAAAGCCTGACGCTGTGCAGCGACACCGCTTGATTTGAAGACTCGGCCTGAAAAACACATT